CCCATCCCCCCACCCAGCCCCCCACCCGCCCGCCCGCCCGCCCGCCCTCCCTCTCCAACACCGATCGGACCCTTGGCGCGTGGTGACGACGGGCCGAGCGACGTCTCGTACGCGGAGTCGCTCAAACGAACGGCCAGCCTTTATTGGCGGACACCGAGTCCGATCAATGAATCATGGTTATGGTATTATGGCGCGCTCGCTTCGCCTCCTCCTCGCTGATCCTGTGCTCGATCAAATAATGAGCCGTTCTGATCGCATCGGGATATCCCGTGATCGTGACGATGCGATTTCTGGTACCGGGGGCGAAGATGCCCTTCTTCGAGATCTGTATGTTCGCGCCGCTCAGGTGCTGTATCTTAATGAGATTCTGACCGCCGGGTCCCAATATTGCTCCCACTATAACCTCTGCAATCTCAATGTCTTTCTTTCCCTCCTTGATGCCGGCGGCGGCGGCGGCGCTCGCCGCGTCCACCTGGCCGGTGGGGCTCTTACTTACGAGTGACAACTGGTTCGTGCCGAGGCCGAACGAGTTATTGTTGAGGTTTATGGCGGCGGCCGCGGCCGCGGCGGCGCTGCTGTTCTGCCGGAACGGGTCGACGAAAGGCTCGAAGCGGTCGAGGGCCGAGCGCGGCGTCGGCGATGTCGAGCCGAGGGTGGGCACGGTCCCTATTGGGCCGAAGACGCCCCCGTTGTTGCTGGTGCCGTTGGCCACCGTCGTCTGTGAGTCCATGGCGTTGCCAAGATAAGGCATGGTCGAGGGCATGCCGATACCCATGCCGAGGACGTTGTACTTGACGAGGGTAGCGACAGCGGCGAGAATCTCTGTGGCCGCGGGCTCGGTGAAGCCGGTCGTGCGTAGGCTCAGCTTTATGTGCTCGAGCAGTTGGCTCGTCGTGCCGGGCGTCGTGCCGGCCGTCAGGGCTGCGCCCAGGTTCAGATTCAGGCTCAAGCCCGCGCCATTCAGGATGCTCACTGCTTGCAGAGAAAAAGACAAATAAGCGATCGTCGTTTGCTTTTGTGTTATGCGAGCGCTCGGACAGAACGAAATAATCTCTTGTTCCCTGGTATTTCCCAGTGTTCGAGCGTTCATTTTTACAACGAAAAGTGCGTGTGATGCATCGTGACAAAGTTTTTCTTCTCAAATACTTTACACACGATGATGCAGTTCCGACACTTTTATTTGTATTCAACGACCTCGAGAATCGACAATTTGCTTCGTTATGCTTACATTACGATAATCATACGTTACTTATTAACATTATTAATTATTTAACACTCCTCGCTTTTCCAAACGCCAAACCCATCCCAACTCGTCATTACACTAATCATTCTTAATCAACCCTAATCGTTATTACTTTCAATCCCTTATATATTCCCTTTTAAACATTAATATTAAGTACAATTGTGTTGTGTTTGTGGGTCTGTGCTTTTTTTTTTCTTTTTATGCCACTAAAATAATTAATCGTTTGCCTTTTATTAGCAGGTACTGCAAGCTTATCGTTATTTTATTTCAAAATATCAATTATAATTCGCAATCAAATTCATTACGTTACTTATGTATTTAAAATAAATCATAATTTTAATAAGATTTTTAACGACACAATTATATTACTAATGATCGATGCTCCTTTTCAAAAAATTTTGTTTTGGGAAAGAATAATAATAACCTTGTATTAAAAAATTGATTAATATTGTTTTAAATATAGCTTTTATTACTTATAGGCGACATACGCAAAACATTAATAACTTTAATAATGTAAAACGTATATTTATTATAAAAACAATTGAGCGAACTTGCGTTTTAATTGAAAATTAAAAATAATATATTAGCTTATATAGTGAAATAAGGTAAATATATATATATATATATATATATATATATATATATATATATATATATATAATGTATAAATTTACGTTACATAATTTATTAAAAAAAAATTTTATACTACATTTTTGAGTACTCTAAATATTATAATTATATAAAGCAAATAAATTATTATCTTTATAATTTCATTGTAAATATCTTTTTACCTAATATGAGAGACCATAGTTTTATATTAAAAATAAATTAAACTTTTATGAATAGTCTAGTACTTCTTTTTTTATATACAAGAAATATATACGAATGCTAATAACAACAACAAAAAATAATAATAAATAAACTTCATTAAGCAAAATTTCCATATGCATTTTTATATGAAATTTTAAATCGATTGGAAATGAATTATTTCTAGTTCTCGATTAGTTAACGTTTATACTAATGATAAAGCTGCGCACGAAACAACTCGTTCAAGGATATTATCCTTAATATTGCCTGATTATTAATTTTAAACGTTAACTAGAACTCGATGTAAATGTCCGCCTCGTTAACGTATTTATCTATCATCGCCATTACGTGGAATATCTTGCGGCAGGTTGATAATATAATAATGTTTGAAAATATTTGTGCTCAAAATCAATTGAATATTCTTATAATAATAACAAATATATAGGCACGTATGATAAAATAAAAATTAAATCATTATCAGCAACTTTTCATTATGTATTTATAAGAAATCGATACCACTAATTGCAGCATTATTACATTTACATTATATGCGTTCATTATATTTTTCAAGCGAGGCAAATACTTAATATTTATCACTCGTCTGTTCGATACAATTTTCGTTGAATGTTAAATTATAAATACTTTATAACAATGTTAAAATTAAGTTTTAAAGTAAATTATATGTCTAAAAGCTTGTTTTTATAATAATATAAGCGACAGCTATATAATAGTCATAGTCTGAAATTAGAACAAAAAAATACAATCAATTTTTTTTTTCTTTTTTTTTTTCTATTACATTGATGCTTTAAATACGTAAACGAAATGTCGCTTACCACTCAACATTTGATTTTCGAAACGTCAAAGTTTATAAATCTAATGCACTTGATGCATGGCTAATCGAAATTCTTGAAAGTGATATTGAAACAGCTTTCAACGTTCAAACTTTCTTTCATTGGTAAGAAAGGAAAGGTGAGAAGGTGTTTGCGTGTACACGGGAGCAGCCTATATCCTACGAATTTCTATTAAAATTTATTATCCTGCCTGAATGGAGCGCACGGTGAAGATAGCCGGGTGGTAGAGGGATGAGTAATAAGTAATAGAAGTATGAAACTCAAGGTACCTGTGTTGATACCGGCGGTCGGGGTATAAGTGGGCGTGGTTGTAGGTGCCTGGGCATATGGGCTGCCGGTCGGGTTGTAGTTAGCTACGGGTCCGCTGATGTCGGCGTAACTAACGTTGAGGCAGGTGCCGCTTTGCGGATCATCCGCGACCTTGGCAAGTATCATGAGGAGGGCATTACAGTTATTCTCTTTCTCGCCGATGACAGTGATGCAACGTTCCTGTAGCGACACGTCCTTAGCCTTCTGAGAGATTTGCACGTAAGAGCCGGACTCCTCCTTGATTTGCTTGATGTAGTTTCCAGCCTTGCCGATTATCATCCCCGCCGTGCTATTTGGCACCAGGATCTTCACCTGTAGCAGGTAGTTTACAAAAAAACGTTCATATTCATTCGACATTTTATTAAGAATATGTGTTAATGCTTGCTCTATATTGTTCAAGAACACGTATTTTAAGTAAGCCCACTCGTTCACGAGACGTTGTCACGTCTTGAAAATTATGAACATTACGAGTATGTGGGTCATGATTTCGCTATTATATCGATATTACAATTGGAAAAATTCTTTTAAATCATCATAATTTTAAATCTGGTAATATTCCATTATAAATATCATTAAAAGGTAACTACATCTCTTATTCATATGCTTGATCGTTAGACTGATTTTCTATTGATAATCTGGCGGTATTAAAGATGATATGTGACTTGAAAGGAACATTTATGGCTGCAGCAATGATTAACGGATTAAAAATTTTAATCATTGAAAAGAGAGAAGAAGAAACAGAGGATTAAAGTGGCTTTAGCATTTGTCAATAATCTATCTATGCTCGCATAATTGCTAAATTTTTAAGGAAACCTTAGTCACGTTCTTTTAAAAATCCAATTTCGTTAAACGAATAATATAAATTTTCATCGGCATGGCATCAATAGATATCACTATTGAGAAATAGTAATTAATAACAATGTTATATTTTATATTTTACATTATTAGCACATTGTAAGAATTTGTAAAACAATTAAATGATTTAAATGTACATTATATATAAACTAATTAAAATATGTAAATTAATTAAAGCTTTCTATTGATATTTAATAAATAATTTTAATTTCATATGTATGCATAACACGTGCAATATTACTTTCCAGCTAGAATATCACTATATAAATCTCTAATAAAACATACTAATATTCTCAAATTTAGTATCAATTAAATTATACCTTCTTTCAATATATAGTCGATTAATAAAAATTTAATTATTCAAGTAATTAAGTAAAATTATACCGCTAATGTTAAAATTAATGATTACGAATATTGCCGAAATAATATAAAAAAAAAAAAAAAAAAAAAAAAAAAAAAAAAAAAATTATACGAAAGTCTAATTTTTTTATTTTTTCTGATTCACAATACGATGAAGCTTTAGTAATTCGGCAATCTGAATACTTGAGTTAACCTGTCTATAAAGCAAATAATTAAATTCGAGCTGCAATACTATGTAATGTATTCAAATAAAAATGAATTCTTTTTCATAACGAATGTATTGAAATAATTGAGCTTTTTATATTACATATAACTCGTAATCTTTTTATTGTTTCATTACATATATTAATTTTTTCCAAAAAAAAAAAAGAGCATAATGACATTTCCTCTCTCTCTCTCTCTCTCTCTCTCTCTCTCTATATATATATATATATATATATATATAGAGAGAGAGAGAGAGAGAGAGAGAGAGAATCTAAGTAATTTTGTAAATCTATCTCTTAATAGCACAAGTATTATAAGAATGAAAAGTTTCAGTGAAAGTAGCGTGTCTAGGAATATTATAGACCTTTCGCACGCTTCTCCCGAATTCGATCGAGTGAACGAAAATAAGTGCATTTATTATGCGCTGCGCGCGCAGCAAGACCGCGAATCGCTTAGCCGACTCGCGATCGGTTGCATCTAAAAATAAGCGTGCTCGCACGTACGTGGCTTCGACAATTAAATCGCTTTTTTATTCATGTGTTGGTAAATGTGTCCGTGGCAGATATCAAGTGCGCCATCCCTTCCCCTCGCCCGCCCACTCTCCGGCGCGCGACTGGCCGCTTGTTTCACAAATGAAATTGCAGCGGCTTTGATTGGCAATGAAACGCCAAGTCGGCTTCGACCGAGGCTTCTAACGTAACAACTCGTCGTCGCTTCTAAAGCGAGCCTCGGCAGCTGCGTTGCCAAAAGCAACGGCTACCATGTTGCTTGTTCACTTCTCGCGCCTCACGCACATAGACAGAGAGACAGAGCCATACACAGATATATAAATGTTGATAAATTTTTTGTGCGTGGAGACGAGAGAGAGAGAGAGAGAGAGAGAGAGAGAGAGAGAGAGATTGATGGGAGGGGGGGGGGGCGACGACGTACGTGTATATGTGTATATATACAGAGAGTGAGAGTTAGAGTTAGAGTTAGAGTTAGAGTTAGAGTTAGAGTGAGAGTGAGAGGGAGATGGTTAAAGGAGACGAATAGTGAGAAATAAAATAAAAGTGCCAATTCCATCGGTAAAGGATCGGAACCTTTTTGAGCGAGAAGTCGCGAAGCCCGGCTCGAGCAGCTATTGTAAATGCGATTCAGATCACTAACCATATAGGCGCGTGCGTTCCACTCTAACTGGGTCATTGCTGACAAACCCCAGCCGTATTTGCAGCGAGTCTCGGTACGCGTCGAGCTTAATTCTGCCGTGACTTTAGCGCGATTGAAGAAGTCGCGACAGAGTGATTGCTTCCCTGTGCTTGCTACGATAAGGCACAACCTGCACAATCTGCACAACATGCGCAACATACGCAACATGCGCAACATGCCCTAGAACTTTGCGAGCTCTAATTTGCTCGTATGATACGTAGCGACGTGTCGGGCACACGGCTTGCATGTGTCATTGCGTTACGCGAAAGAAGGTCTTATCGATTTATTATACCAACGTATTTTTTTCATTTACTTAATCGCGCATTTTCCGCTTAAACCACTTGGGTCATTCAATTTTTGAACGTTAACATTCTATTTATAACAACGTGTATTTTAATACTATATTTTTACTCGTAATACTTTACGGATGCAGTAATATAAAATAAACTGGGTCTCGAGCACAGTCATTCAAATTTTGTCACCACCATTAAAATGTATGACTCAACTATCCTCTCCCCCACTCCCCTCATCGTCACAGCCCTTCCCCCACCACGATAATAATGATATTGCAATAACTGATATGGAGAAAACGTTGTTGAAATCTTCGATTGCCCGTAATTACTAGTCAAAAATAGTTTTGGTAATTTTATACTATTTACCACTGAAATTTTACAACAATCTATGCTTTCATAATTCAATTGAACTTGAGTGGAATGGAAGTGGTGGAAAAATGGAAGAAAAAAAAGAAAAAAAAAGAAAAAAACAGTAATTATATTACCCGTATGTGTTGTGTGAATAATATTGTATTAATATCCAAGTTAAATAGCGTAGAACTTTTTCATAGTTTACGTAACTAGTAATCATGCACATTTCTAACATTGTCCTTCATTTCTTAATTATTACGTACATACGAAAACAATTTTTTTTTTTGTTTTGTTTTGTTTTTTGTTTTGTTTTTGCTTTTGTTTTATACGTTATTATAAAAGAAAATAGTAATTGAGATTATAATTAATCGAACAATCAGGGTCTGAGCGTCACTCTAATACACTTTCATTTTTTCAGTTCTAAAAGCGAAGGTAAATAATAAAAACATGTCAATTTCTATTGCCAATAATAATTTATTGCATGAAGTTTTGTTATAGGATTTATTAAAAAATTTATCTCTTGACATCCGATGTTAATTGGATTCGATGATGATTATTATTATTTTTTTTTTTTATTTTTTTTTTTTTTTTTTTTTTTTTTTACTGAAATTCGTAGATTTCAAAGAAAATGAAAGATATGAAAAAATGAAAAATGAAAGATATGAAAAAATGAAAAATGAAAGATATTCATTTAGTAAATTACTTTACAAACTAAGTTAAAAAGTTTCATACGTCAATGCATTAACAGACTATTTGCTAATGTATTTGGCTCCATAAAATTCAGTGAATAGTGTCGCAATGATTGCATATGTATAAGTCAAGTACTCATTTTTAAACTGTGACGTAGGTTAAGAATTAAATAAAATGCCTACATAAGTAAATTAAGTTTTACTCTCAAGATTTGAAATATAATTACAATGCTAACGACACAGGCTTTTACGTTTTCTTTAATTTAAAAAGCTGTAAACGTAAGCAGTTTTATTCCTATCCTCTTTTTGTAAAACGAACATTTTAATGCTTATGTAATAGTGCAACGTTGCACTTCCAAGACTTATGAAATCATACTTGATTAGATTCAATGTGACCTAGCATCCCCATTAAATTATATAAAGAGAGGAGAGAGATGAAAAAACAACATGCGAAAATAAGTTATAATTTATTGCGCCTTGTGGTCATTTTTAGATTGTATAATAAATAAGTCGAGCATGCAAGATATCGAAGCCAAATTCGCTTGGCCAAGCATAAATCTTACGATATTCACATTACCTGCTTATCCCTTTCCGCGGTCGCTTTGCCGGAATCAAAGTCGACCGTCGTCTTCGTCGTGAGGTCGGGCTTCTCGCGGATTTTTTCCATAATGAAATCCATAACCGCCATAATAGCGTCTACGCTACCGGTTATTAGACACACCCGCTCAGTCGTCCCTAGGAAAAAAACAAACAAAAAACAAACAATTCAATGCTCCTTCTGAATTGAATGTAACAAACATGTCCATGTTTTCTAGGTGCGTAGATGAGTAACAATAAGAAAGGCTGATGCATTAATTGTGATTATGCAAGGCCGCGGGTGCGGACTGGAAATGACAGTCCCAAGGACGCCGAGACATAAAATTACGTCATACATTAAGCTTTTTAAGAATTCCAATCTAATTCTACTATACTTTTGAAGTGATATGGAGTAAAAATGTTGCGTTAACGACTGCTAAGTAGTGTGACGGATATATTTAGATTTGAAAATCGATGAGGAGAAAATTTTACGATTATGAGATTACAATGTGAATTAATCTTATCGTTAATTATTATTGAACATATTATTGAACAACGTTATATTGCAATGACTCGTTTAAGACTCGTTTTAGCATTTTCTCTATTACTTTATTTCTTTTGTTTTTATCTATCTATCTACCTACCATCTTTTCCCTTCTATTTATACATATATATTTATAGAAAAATAATTTATACCGGATTTTCGCGTGAAAGATAATGTGCGTGGAAGCGATTATGTATCATGTGATTGTAATTTGCGTATAATATAATGTAGATAATATCTACTTGAAAGGAATTAAAATATTTAGCAATATATGTAAGCCAATATTCATATATATATTCGCAGTAAATTAATGCGCGCGTACACGCACACGCACGCGCACATACGCTATGGTAAATTAATGCGCGCGTACACGCACACGCACGCGCACATACGCTATGGATAAATATATATATATATATATATATATATATATATATACATGTAAGTGTACTGATTTGTTCACCTGGATAAAAGTCGTGCGACTTGGACATTTTGACCCTCGCTCCTGTATCCTTTTGTAGCTGGGCGATCGTTTCACCACCTTTGCCGATAATAGCTCCAGCTGCCACTCCTGGTACCAGGACTTTGAGATGGTATGTGCCATCTCCACCTGATGAATTATATATAATATTAAGCAAATATTTTTTTATTTTTACCAGCGTTTATTAGTATCTCGACGCTTAACACATGATTGCTATTATATCTGCAAAGTGTTATTTTTCTGATATTTATTTTATTGCTTTTTGCAACGAATTGATTGGCCGATTAATTACAAAAGAATTATCAACTATCTACGAGATTTATTAATATTAACTTATTTACGTTACTTGCTCAACGTAAAACGTATGCAGAAAATATTATGCTTTTCATATTATCTATATTAGGAAATTAACAAGCGCTTGTAAATATGATCAATTAATATGGAATCTCAATTAGACATATTTGATAATTATATAAGGTTCGCAAATTTTTTTGATATGTATTAATCATTTCAAAATTATAATGCGAGTGTAAAGTATGAAATACAGCATTTTCACTTATAAGAAGTTCTTGAAAACAATAATAGAGTCTAAAAATAAAATGATACTCTTATTTATTTTTTAAACATTTTGATATTCAGCAAATATGTATATTCGATTATATAAATTAGAGAACAAACGTATATATTTATACGTATATATACAAAAGCATTAAATATTGTAAATAAATGAATTATTGACAGCAAAATTACGTAGGATTTGCAACGGAGAGATTATCATTGCTTTAATTTTACCTTTAATACTTAGGCAAATCGACGGAAGAAATCTATGTGTGACTTTATACACCCCCCACCCCCCGCGCGCGCGCGCACACACACACACGCACGCACGCACATATATTATAATTTCATATTTTACTAATGCCTTGAAATTATGTTTCGATTAGGCGCGATATCATAAAAATAAAAACAATTTGACAACTGGCTCATCGACATTATCTACTCTCGCACATCAAGTTGGAAAAGAAGGTCTCAGCAAAAACTTATGAAATAAATTCGCTTTGTAACAACTATGTAATTAAAACCGATAAGATAATATAAACACATTATACTATAATACTTTCTTGACTACGCTCAAAAGAAATGTACAATAGAACGAAGTTAATGGGAAAGAATAGATAAACGAAAATATTCTATATTCTTTAAGCCAGATGTTTCGTGTAAAGTTTTTTGCAAATAATATTATTTTATTTAAACAAAATTGCAATATTTTTGAATAAAATATTATTAAATTACTTATCAATTGTCATTCGATATAACTGAAAATTATGTAAATGCTTTTCGTATTAAATTTCATTACGTATATTATTTTAACTAAATATGATGTTTAAACATCATTTTATAAGCTCAAAACTTATGCTTTGCAATTGTATGTATATACAATATATATATATATATACATACTCATATATATATATATATATATATATATATATATATATTGGAGAATGTATATTATTATATGCGCCTGTAATTCATCATTTAAGGAAGTTTTAATTAAAAAAATTTTAAATTGCAAAAAGTTAATATCTGAATTACAATCGTAAATATTGATTGAAGTTATGAAGTAAAAATGCGTAAAAGTAACGCATAAAATCTTAGTTTTAAAGAAGTATATAAAAAGCAAACGGCGTATTATCATTGTTGAAATGGATACAACATTTTGCAGTAAAATGAAGCCGATAAGATACAGAACAATAATTGCTGTAATTTTTTTTTTTTAATTGAATAGCAGCTTATAAAGTAAATAAAGATAGTTCGATACACTTTGAACTTTCATTTCTAAACCAAGCTAATTAAGTCTTGTGAGAAAGATATTACAAGACGAAACCAAATGTAATGCTTATTATATTGGCTTAAATGTATGAGACGCCATTATTAAACATATCAGCAGGACTCGAAATAACTTAGCCTAGGAAATATTATACGAAGAAATAGCAAATAACAGGAGATTGCTCATGTGACATATAATTAAACAAATGGAATAATAAATGAACTCGTTTTATACGAATATTAAATGTACGATGAAAATTAAATATCACGCATTGAAAGCGAGTCTGCAGGAAAATTAGCAAAGTAGTAGTAGTCTTGGAGTCTCATGTACGTGGCTCTCTGCGCTAGCACGACAAATTTAACGAATAGTTTTATTACTTTAGAACACTATTATCGAGGTAAAAAAACATCCACCAGAATGAAGTAAGCCGCCATGCACTTAGCTCGGTACCGACATTATGAATTTTAATGACATTAATATATTCGCGATTTCTTAGGACGAGAGCGATCGAGATGAGAGTATCTCGAAGCGCTACGACATTTGAAATATTTTATAAACGAAACTCGAATATCTCGTTGGAACTTTTGGCCTACTTCTCACGCAAACGTGTTGAATACGAAGTTCACAATCTTCCGAACACCACTACAATTGCTATCAAATTTCCAAGAGGCGGAGGCGATAAGTGGGTCAGGTGCATCTCGATGAGCGCGATCCTCACCCCGTGAAAAGTTGAGAACAAAATGCGAGCTCGAGAGTAGCCTGAGCTAAATCGGCCAAACTCGTCGCCACCCTCGTTTTATAAAGGGCGTTGCATCGCCGTAGCTCCGACCCCGAGAGTAAAGAGAATCGATGTCGGGAAGCGAAGGAGTCCAGCCGCGAGTCACTGAATATGTTTCGACACTAGTAATCAGGATGTGGACAAGGCGTCAAAAGACGAACAGCTGTTTGAAGATTGCGTACGGAAAGGAGCGAATTGGCCGAGAAGGTCTATGGAGTTAGCTTGTCGATGGTGATGACCTTGACCCACGACCCCGTTGCGATGGTTGTCGTCGTCGTCGTCGTAGTCGCCGTCACTGTCTACATCGTTATCGTTATCGTTATCTTCATCTTCATCTTCATCTTCATCGTCGTCGTTGTTGTCGTCATCGTCATCTTTATCTTTATCTTTATCTTTATCTTCATCGTTATCGTCATCGTCATCGTCATCGTCATCGTCATCGACATCGTCATCGTCATCGTCATCGTCATTGTCATCGTCATCGTCGTCGTCATGTTCATCGTCATCATCTTCCCCGAGGCAGTATCGATGAAACGACACGGCACGGGGTATCTGAGACGGAGCGCGGGTGATAGAGGTGATGAGCGCAAAACATACAAAACATACACCGAACAGCGAGAGCGAGAGAGAACGACAAAGCGGGAATAATGTTGTGAATAATGAGATAGTGAGATAGACAGCGGCAGAAACAGCAACAACAACAGCAGCAATAGCAGCATCGGTAACTATAGTAGCAGTCATAGTGTAGTGACAGTCGTAGAAGTAGTCATATAGTAGTGGTAGTAACAATAACAGCGGTAAGAGCGGTAAGAGCGATAACAGGAGCAGCAGCAGCAGCAGCAGCAGCAGCAGCAGCAGCAGCAGCAGCAGAGGCTCACTCACCAATGTGCCACATCCTCTCGTTCAACAGCACAGGCCGGGGGTCAGCTAAGCGTGCGCGGGACTACGCGGCACGACCCAGGTCAGGTCGTCCTCCGTCGGTGATGCGCGAGACTGGCCGCGGGTTTTCTCCTCGCGTACCTCGCGCGACACCCGCCGCGCTATGACAGCCCGAGAGAGAGGCTGCTTTTTTTCTTCCTCCTTCGCGGAGTCGAGCGCGCGGTACGTCTCCATTCCCCCCACCCGTCCATTAAGCCAGATAGAGAGGACCTCCGTAGAGTCCTGCATTACCGACGCTCGACTCGTTTCTCAATGATTGCGTCGCCTATTTTTATTGATGACCGAGATAGACGCACGTCCAGCCTGACGATGCCGTCGCTGACTGAATATTCCGCGTCTCGGTGCGCGACGTGTACACGACGTGTGCGCGAGCGCCGGAAGCCATTGCACAGGGCTACGAGGCCGACGAGGCTACTACCTCGTGAAAAACAAAACTTCATGGTTACGTGGCCGATTCCACCGCGATTATGACAAATGCGGTAAGGAAGCGCTGGCCGACATTATAGCCAATAATATATGTTGCTAGCTATTTCTTGTTTGTTATTGTTTTGTCTCGTCTCCCAGGGATTGCGACACTCGGCATACCCTGTTATGACTCTATTTTATATAATTGAATATAATGATTATCAGGTTAGATGAATCCTTTTACAATTATTTTACAATAATACTTTGGCACACTTTGGGGCGACCTAACCCCAAGGAACATTAACCAACATTATCAAACTTATATCCTTTTTCTACAGTCTCTCTCTCTCTCTCTATCTCTCTCTCTCTCTCTCTCTCTCTCTCTGTCTCTCTCTCTCTGTCTCTCGCTCTCTCTCTATCTGTCTCTCTCACTCCCTCACAAAAGCCACGGTATAACTTTTACATATCTTACATTTTTCTCTTCATTTGCCAATCTACAGCAGAGCCAATTACAAATATTGCGCATAGCAAGCAAAATTTATTCTAGCGAGTAATACACGCTTCTGCAAATATCCAAATCATCAGTTAAGTTTATCATTAAATTAGTCTTAATTAAAAAAAAAAAAAAAAAAAAAAAAAAAAAAGAAGAAAAAAACCACAGTGAAATAATTCATCCGAAACAATAAATATTCTATTGATCATACTATCAAAATATTAAGATGGATTTTTCTCCATTTATTATTGTACGAAATCTAAATTTTACTCGATTGTTTATTGCTTATTGCTTTTTACTATTTACTATTCCAGCTTCTATTGCTTATATCTATTAATATTATAGTTATTCCCATTTGTATAAGAAAGATTCGTTTTTAAACTATGCCTGACAAGTATTAATACTTTCCGGCTGCATAGAGACTGCATAAAAAAAAAAAAAAAGTGAAATCATCGGTCGATTGGAAAGAGTAGAATCTGTAATTATATATGATAATTATATGGGAAAGCATATTTTATTCTGACGACTTGCAGGCTAAATTCAAATCGAATGGAATATATTTTGGTTTTTTTTTTGTTTTTTTTTTGTTTGTTTTTTGGTTTTTTTTTTTGTTTTTTTCTTTTCAACAAGTCTCAATAATAATATGAAGTTTGAAATTTATGTAAATTTTCGTATACGATAAAAATAAATGTATTATAAATATATCACTGTTAAATAAAAAAAAAAATACGATTTCGGCAAAAATTAAATAAAGCAACACTTACAACTCACTAGTTTCTAAATTTTTTTAGAAAATTTTGTTTTTATATAAAGCAAAGCGTGGTAACTTTTTAGTAAGTAAAATCTTAATATATTCTTGTTATTATGAAAATATCCTTGAGAGTCAGTATTAAGAATTGTATTACGAAATACTATATAACGAGTTGATTGTTCATGACCATAATAAATATGAAGTCTTCGTTTAAGCAAAGTATAGTATGCGCATACCCTATTACATCCTAGTACATCTAACCATTAATATATATGCACATGAATATATAATAATTTAATAATAAAAATTTAAGGTAAACATTAGATGCAAATGAGCACAGACTATTGAGATTTAATAATTGGGATGAACTGATAATATTACTAAGCATTATTATGCAGTGCCAACCATTTAACAATTTACTTCGATATTTTATTCTTAGTTTTATGTTTGAGTAATTTTAATAGACGTCGTCTTATGCGCATTCCGAAAAGTAATTAATAAATTTTCTTCTTTTTCTATAATATTATTATACAATAACAGATTATTCTTAATAAAATTATCATTCATCAACATGCTTTGGATTTCATATTTTTAAAATAAAAGATGTATTGTAATTTTCCGGCAACGACAAAGTAGTAAACCGCGTACTTTAAGGAAAGCTGAACGAAAATTTTCATTATATATAATGAGTTTTAACAGTATTATATTCAATTTAAACGTAATAACACATGATTATTTTCTAGCTCTTTTAATGAATAATTAAATACTTTAATGAACCTAACAACCGCTTTACATTCGTCAATATTTATGATTTTTTGTTTCTTAGAAAGTCCGAATAGATCATTAAAAAAATATCATTCATTGTTTTATCCTAATGACCTTATTTATAATTTTTAATATCTTTTCGGTATTTCCTATTTAATGCTATGAATAATGTATGCCAAGTTGTAACGGAGCGACATGCTGATATAATTTCCAGTTGTTTGTACCATCTAACCTTCGCACCATCAAACACCGATATGATAATAAGAATCATTGAAAAAAATATAGTCCGTTTCTACCAACTCAACCACGCTTCTCGTATCAATAACCCATAATACATAGAGACCGACCGATAATAAAATATTAAATCAGAACTACGTGCAAAATACGGATGAGTCAGAAATATCTGCTGCTGGAATACACACGCAATCACTGCTGGTCTGAATACGATATTGAAGAATAAAAGAGATAGAGAGTAAGTTACCGAGAGGAGCTACATTAGGTGCATTTACAGGACAGCAATGTGCAAATAGCAGTGACGATCGAGGAAAGTCACATTTAAAACACACACAGTGAAACTTGTGATAATTTTCCCCAGCTTCTTTTGACTTTTGCATACTTGCAGTTTGAAATGAGCGGCTCTCTCTCTCTCTCTCTCTCTCTCTCACTCACTCACTCTAACTTACTCTTCAATCTGTCTTTATTGTTTCATCTCTCGATCACCCGTGCCCAGGTACAATACGTAACACAATTTCGTACCTCTCCGTTAAATACGCGGAAACATGTCAAGAAAAGGTGTACGCGGTGCGACATATCCGAAAAATCCAGTCGCTTAGTTTCAATTGGACATCAAAATTATATCGCAATTTATAAATTAATTCACAACATCTAGGATTGCCTTCAGCTTAATTTCAGATAATACAATTTAATACGTCAAATTAGCTATTATCTTTTTCACTTGTTGTCAAATTTTCACTAGTTGTGGAAAGATTTTTATTCATCACATTATCTGTACTATTAGATGATAAATAAAATTATTATTTAAAATTCTTGCTTAGATTATTTTTGTAATACTTCTAATTTAAATTTCAAAATAAAAAAATATATATATATATATAAAAAAACTAAAATATTATGACTATATAAAAATTAAGATATATGTAATGAATGCGCCCTTTTAATATATTTACAAACTTAAACAAATACCTACAACATTATTAACTAAAATTTTATTTCAACATCTAACGTCTTAACTTTTGTGTTTGTAACCACTTGTAATTTTGTTCGTAATTACTAATTTTATCCGATATTCAAGATATCTTAAAAGCAAATTAATAATATAAATATTTACAAATTTTAAGTAAAAATATTCTCAACAATAGCAATAGTTGATTTTATTATTTAATGACAATTTACTATTATGTAAACAATGAATATAATTAATATTAATAGAACTGAAATCTATACAATAAATTTTTATTTGTATTGAAATGAGAGTATTATGATAAAAATTTAATACTTGTTTCTATTTCTTTATCAATGAAATAAATAGATTATTTATTAAAAAATATTTTAGGTACATTTTATAAATCATAAACAAACGTTATCATGAATATTCACGAAATTTAAGAGATCAGAGATTTATTTATTTTCCTTTTGTACATATTTTATATTTATATTGCATTGTACATTTATATTTATATTGCGTATTTTGCAAATTATGCAATAACATATTATCATTGAAATTAAAAATATACTTCATACATTATTACATCAAATTAAATAAATATACGTATAATCAAGGAAAAAACACTTAAAAGTAATGTAGAAAAATCTAAAGTGAAAATAAAAATTTTCTTTACGATATTGTTGCAATTGAAAATACCTTAGGAAGAGAAATATTTTCTTTTGATTATATTTAATTGTGGTATTAAAAATATAATTTAACATTAAAATTGGGTTGCAATATTATTGCAATATTAAAAAAAAATATATTTCCCTATATAAATAGTTAATTAGAGACAAATTCAGACGGCGATACGAAGGAGTCTAGTGTATAAAAATTATTGGAATGGCCCCATTCGTAAATATGATTGATCCGGAACATTTAATTATTAATTCTTTCCAAGCATTTATAACATACTCAGTTATATGAATCGTTGTAGCCAATAAAGAATTTATATTTAATATATGCGAAAAAAAAATGTCATCTCAAGATTTTGTTAATGATAAATTATTTAATTTTATGTTATTTTAAAATTATTTCATTAGAATGATTTATGTATACATAATGCATTTTTCGGATTTAAATGAAGTCGAGTCACTACATTTTACATTTTTATAAAACTTGTTTTTAAACAATACTATAATATTATATACTTATATAAAATTATACCATTGGCATTCAAAAAATACATTTCTTTTGGGTAAACGATTAACGTATATTATAGATACATTTTTTCTTTTTTTCTTTTTATAAAAATTCAAATACAAATAGTGTTTTTTTGAAATTTTTATTAATAGTTGAATGAAACACGCAATGCTTCGTCAAATTAAATAGATTCTCCATCCATTCATCCATCTCCACCAATAATAATTTAGAAACGAACACATATTGAGACGATGCTTTATACTTAAATTATCTGATTTTTTAATCACTTTTGCTTTGTAATTTCTTTCTGCAAATATTATTATTATTTACACTATATAAAAGAAAACTATAGGAGACATTTTTTTGAATGTATGAAATATTTACTGCCTCGTTTATTTATCTAATTTGTAAATTATATGTTA